GATCGGTGAAGACGGCATTCTGATCGATCTCCAGAAATTGAACGCGATCAGTGTCAGTGACGACAAGAAAGTCGCTAGCATAGGACCTGGCCAAAAGTGGGGAAAGGTTTATGAGGCCTTGGACTCGTGTGAACTAAGTGTGATTGGAGGACGTATTCCTCAAGTCGGAGTAGGCGGACTGATACTCGGAGGTGGCTTCTTCCATTTTTCTGGCAAATATGGTCTCGCAGCAGACAATGTAAAGGACTTTGAGGTCGTCCTGGCGGATGGATCTGTTGTGAATGCCAACGCCGATTCCAACAGTGATCTGTTCTGGGCTCTCAAAGGCGGAGGACCCAACTTCGGTAAGTCTCTGACTGTTCGTGTAGGATTATTTTGCTCACTGAGAATCAGGCATTGTTACCAAATTCGACATGTACACCGTTCCTGTACATAAGATATGGTATACCGTGTCTGTCTACAGCTCCGATAATGCTGTGGCCTGCATCGACGCCTTTGCCAAGTGGCAGGAAACTGCATCGTCCGACTCCAAAGCCACCGTAGCAATGATCATTGGTCTCGATTCCATCACATTAGGGTTCCTCTACGCCGAGCCTGAAGCGCCTCCCAACATTTTTGCTGCTTTTGACGACCTACCCTCCCCTCTCGCCGTTGCGGTTCCGCCTACGACTGGCACTGTAAACATTCTCTCCCAGATATTAGCATCTACCTCTTCCTCGGAACCTATGCGGTGAGCTTCTCGGATACTAAGACGTGCGTCCATCCTGCTGACCGATCCTCAGTCACGATTACCGGGGCGTTAGCTCGGATGTGGACGCTCAACTTTACAAAGACGTCTACGCCATTTGGAAAGAAAAGGCGACCGCCGTACATGCTGAGACAGGCGCAAACATGACATTTGTGCTGCAGCCTATCACCGCAGGTTTAACTGCAGCTAGCAATGCCGCCGGTGGAAATCCCATGGGTATTCCTGAGAAGACGCACCAATGTAGGTCACATCAATACAGCCTCTCTTTTTTATGATCTAACAAGATATCAGGGTGGACTACGCTAGTTGACTGGACTGCTGCCGCCGACGATGCGGCAGTGCGCGCCGTGCCCATCGCAGTCACCGACACCATGAAGCAGCTGAGTAAAGAACGTGGCCTCGACATACCTTTCATCTTCACCAATGATGCGTCGCGCGACCAGAACCCGATTGCATCGTATGGTGCTGCCAATGTGCAGAAGCTCAAGGAGGTCGCGGAGAAGTACGATCCTGAAAGGGTTTTCCAGAACCAGCAGAGCGGAGGGTTTCTACTTAAAAATTTATGAGATTGATGACGGTGGGGTGGGGTGATAGCGATGTTGACATAAGGTAGCGCTGTTTATGATAATGGTCATCCAAGATAACTTCCCCATCCAATGCATTCATTGATACTGCATTAGCGTACAGATGAGCAGCTGAAGACAAGATTCTCAGCAATCTCGTCTCCTTCTAGTCTTGTTCTTCGTTCTTTTTCTGTTCGTATAAAATCGTTGTCTTACTCGTATACAGTAGCCATTTCGACAACACCAAAGTCACTCCCACCTCCCTCGAACTCACCCCTAATTGTAAGGAAGCCTTCTTAAGCTGCCTCTGTCTCGTGGCAAATCACTTCGTTCTTAGTGAAGTACTGACGCACTCATAGCTATGAATTGTCCAATGCTCAGCTTAGTTCGCTCGCTCTCCCGAACTTCCTGACGAGATGATTGACGCCGTCCTCGATATCCTCATTGACTACCAAGGCACTCTTGGAAGTCCTCATCTATCCGTAGAATATGTCCTCAGTTGTAAATGTGTACTTCCCTCAACGCTGCTGCGCTGCATCTGCTCTTCTCCTAAGGTGACCCCATATCAGATGATGCAGATTGTATCTTCTTGGCTGTCCTTGAACCAAGTTACCATATCTTTGTACGAATTTTTCCCAACAGAAACTATCGTTCCCACTCGATAATACTGCTTCGGCGCGTCTGCAGGATGTAGCAACAGAGCTTGTGAACAAGGTTCTCGTTTTTTACCAACGGGCTCATGCCGGAAGAGAAGCATCATAACGAGAAGATCCAGTCCTTGCTCTTTATCTTTATGGAGCCAGTCTGTGGAAACTTCGTGATAATCGCTGATAGAGGGGCCGATCAGTATCGCCTGGTGAATCGAGAGATTTGACCACTCCTCTTGTTGGCTGGATGATGACCATATCGGCATTGCAAGCAGTTTCCCGCGAATACGAAGAAAACCCCCAGAAATTCGCCCATATGGATCCTCAGAATCAGTATCAACGCCAACATCCACTATAGACGCCTCTTTGATTATACGACGACGAGAATAAATATTGGTACCCCTATCACTTGTTACACCTGGACATGCTGCCCAAGACCAGGATGGGGCAACATAATTACGTTGTCGAATATTCTGAAGATGAACTTCAAGTCCACGTGACAATTGAGTACCAATGCTTTGCCACAGCAAGGATTCGAGTAAATCTCCTTTCCAGAGTCCGGCAAGATATTGGTCCTGTAGTGCCTCGCCTACTATGCGAGCAAGTCCGGCAATTGCAGGAAGGCGATCCTTGTCGAGTGTCACTGCGCGTTTGCCGTAATCGTTGATTAACGAGCCCCAACACTCATATAGCTTTCTGGAAGAGATGCAAGATGTCTTGAACCTGGCAACCTGGCTCAGGATTCTCGATGAGGTTTTATTCATGGGGGCTTCATCTCCTTCAGTCCATTGGTATCTGCCACAAGCAAAATGCATCTTCAGGCTTCCAAAAAGAAGGAGTCGAGTCGACATTTCCATTTCCTGATACGTCCAGCATCTCTTACTCCACGTGGACAAATGGTAGTCCCACTCATACTTTGCGCATTGTAGGCTCCCACCCGTTCTTGATCGTAGACGAATCAAGTAAGAACCATTGATAGCTTTGCGTAAATTCGACTGGAAGGGAAACTTAATTGCAGGCGCTCTATTGAGGAAGCCTTCGTGACATGAGTTTGAGTTAAGGCTGCAGAAAGTGACAAACGCATGGCGATAAACTAAATTCATTTGGGAGGACTCGTGCGACCAGTCATCCTTGTCATCTTGTATGATGCAAAGAGCGTCTATCCAGATGTATCGAAGGCCAATTGCCTTTGTGATCGCGATGGCATCCTTGGTAGTCGATGTCATAAGTTCGTGGGGCAGACTTGTGCACCTGTCTTCAAGAGATGCTTTCTCGGTCTTGAATTGTGACTCAGCGTCTTTTTTGTCACCCCAGCAGTAGCTCAGGGCAGCGTACTTGATCTGCTCAGATTGGCGAACTTCGGAGGAAAACACCAGACGAGGGAGAACGGATGCGTCATGGCCAACATCTATGAGCCTTGTAGGCATGAATGGAGATGATATCTCAGGGTGGCATATTGACGTGCATTGATCGAGAAATCGGCGAATTGTGGCAATGTTCCCAGGGTCCAAGTACGAAGTTTCACGCGCGGATTGAGCTCCTAGCCATTGCTTACAATCTTTAGATCAAAAAGTTAGTCTGTACAATCTAAAACTCAGCTGGGTAGCTTGACTCACTACTGTCTGCCTCAATAGGAAAAAGAATTCGGATCTCTCTTTTGTAAGATCTGCCCCGATCAGAAGGGTAGTGAGGCCCCGCATTTTTATCGTTGTTTATTCGTGCACGGCGGCTCCGCTGCCTCATCGTGCTGTGATCCATAGGAGATCTGTTCGGATGATCATAAGTCGTCCTGTAATCCATAGGAGATCTGTTCGGATGATCATAAGTCGGCCTGTAACCCATACAAGATCTGTTCGGATTAAAAGTCGTTTTCACTAGCAGCCCTTCGATACCTCCATCCCTTAGCGAAATATACGCAACCGAATGCAGCGTACCGCTATGTGTGGTATAAAACTTGATTTCTTGCGCGAATGCATCCTCTAGTGAACTGAGTAAAGCTTGACAGAATACACAACCAAGCTGAGAGGAACGATACAATCGTGGCATATCAGGCAGGATGTCCTCCATCTCCCAATCAAGGCGGACCAGTTTATAACCCCACTCGTCTTGATCGTCTGGCATGTTAACTTTGGGACGGACTTCAATCCGGTCATATGAGAAATCAAGTCGTGGAATGCCATCTTCATATACTAGTTCCCGACCCCCAAGTGCAAGATCATCAAAGCTGAGAAGGCTGCAGCGCTCGCAGAGAGTGTTATTTTCCGCCGAGTGGCTCATTGGTTCCATAGTGCAGGACTCGAGAGGGGCGGCGTACAGCCAAAAAGCAGTGGATGTGAGAAAAAGGAGCCACAAGGCCCACTGGTTTCAAAGACGATTTCGCCAGACGGACTGTGTATGAAGTGAATCGGAGTGTAGCCGTTGGCGAAGTGTTGCCCACGGGTCTATGGTGGGGCAACTCGCAGCGAGCCAGCAGTACCGGTGAGATTGTGGCTTGATTAGGCAGCACTCCCAAGGTACTCTGGTAGCTGAAACATGATCAGCCTAGTATTCACCACTCGGCCTCACGGTCCATCCCGTCTCCTCCAAGCAACAACACTTTGTCTTTGACCACCCACATGCTCACCACACTCACCGGTAAACGATGCGTGCATGCTGTCAAATGCCTAGCTATCTATAATGACTTACCCGACTAGTGAAACGGGGCCCTAGTTTCCCTGGGCTGAATGAACCGAAATGAAGGATGTTAGGTACTTCTCCTCCGACATCGACCCCCTCCTGGATGAATCGCCCTCGGTACGGTACCTCAGGTGCTAACATCGCAGATTGCGTTGAGAGAGAGGGTATGAGTAGAAATGGCTTAGATCAATCAAGCGCGCCAATGCAAATGCTCATAGTACACGTATCTATCTGAAAGCGAAAACAGGAAGCACTTATCAGCACCATAACGCACACGAACAAACACGACACATCATGACATATTCGTTATTCCTCTTTCTACTTTCCATCCTAGTCCCCTTTCACTGTGCCAACGACGCATACCATCTATTTGTTCAACTCCTCAGCCCTCTTCTTAAGCTCCTCCTTGCTCTCAGCCTTGGGCATGCTATCAGGAACAACAGGCCCCTTTGAGTTGTGAGCCTGGATATCAGCGTGGTTCGCGTGCGAAGAGGCGGTCGAGTCGGACGACTCTTTTGCGATCTTATCGGTGAGGCCTGTGTGGGACGATGACTTGGTCAGCGTTTGTTTCTAGGGTGAGAAAGGAAGAGGAAGGGCCAGTCAACGTACTGCCAGCGGCGCCTTGCTCAACGGGGTGGTCAGGCATGGTGGTTTAGGTTGATGTGGGGTCTTGTTTGTGGGGGTGTAGGACCGCCGATGTAGAGAAACTCTTGACAGTACTTGTTGGCCCTGTCTTGTAGGTTTTGTTCCTTGACGTCAAGGTTACCAACGTCTTGTTCGAGTGCTTCGATTCCGGTTCTGTCTTCCTGCTCGGTAGTGACAAGGTCCGGGAGACTTTGGTAAAGGGTTTCTAGTCTTTGCTGGTAGGCTTGTAGGACTTGAGGAGAGGGCTGGGCTGGAGACGACATGGTGTGGGTTATGTAGCCGGCTAGAGGTGCGTAGTACGCAGCTGCGTGATCGGTGACGTAGGTGAATGTGGTTGGGAGGGGCGGGGCGAGACAGGTGGGCTGGAGCTGGCTGGAAGGGGCAGCTGGCGTGGGAGAGGTGTTGATGCGGTTAGTGCGGGGGAGGGGCGGGGTCTTGGAACCCTGGTTCTGTTGGACGTAGCAGCGCAGGCGGAACCACACCCAAGACGCCTTGTGGAGACTTGTACCATTGTATTGATGGATAAACAGGTTGCTCTTGATTTCCCACTGATAGTACTGTAAGCGGCCGCGAGGTTATTTAATACGCTGTTTTTCCGCCGGAGGCGTTGGATGTGGCTGTGTCTCCTCGTGATCCTGGGAGCCCGATGTTATCACTCCCGTAAAGACCCCTGTCGCATACGCAGAGAAGAGAAGAGATGAATAGCTATCATTCCGAGTCAACCTTGGGACAAGTATATACGTTGAACTGCTTACTTGACCAACATCCAAATCAGACGAGAAGGGATAGAACTGTGCTCGCAGAAGCGTTGGGAAGCTTGCTGCGCGGTAACTGTTCTCATGCTCAGTAGAAAGGCCACCCAACGTCAAGGCACAAACTTACTATACATCCACATCTTGGTCCAATGAGCCACAGCAACCATCAAACCGATAACGGCGGTGTGCGTAGTCATTGGGCGGACAGTATTTGTCTTCGTCGCTTTACTCGACCCGCGACCCCGAACTAGACTCCAAAGGTAAACCAAGCAAAGCATCGCCTCAAAGCCACTGATGGAAGTAACACCAGCCAGGACGGTATCGTTGTCTATCCAAGCTCGCTCGCCGTACAGGTTGTCAATGGCAGCCCATTGGCCCAAAGGCTTGAAAGGAGCATGCCATTTGTGGCCGGGCAGGCTGTGAGGACGAAGGTTGGTGTAATACATGTCGTAATTTATCGAGATAAAGTTCCAGATAAACCACATGGTTATTTTAAGTCGGGGGTCATGAGCGAATACCATGGTCAAGGACGAGGAACACGTTGTACAAGTCTTGCTTTCAGTCGACGGCGTTGTTCTACATATGCTCATATCGGATATCGGATGGATCGTGGCCATCTCTGCCGTTCTTCCCGAACAGTAGTCATTGCACGCCTAGTTCATGGTGTACTACGAGTGATTGAGAGAGAATAGGCTCATATTCCCCGCACTCTATACAGAATATTGTCGAATCCATCGATGGTCAGCGGTTTTCTGCTCATGGCGTGCCACGCGTACCTATTCCCCGCTGTCAGCTTCACCACCCGCCAGATCACCAACAATAGAAGGACTATTGCGCGCCATGACCACGCTCCATCAACCTTTTTACTCGGATCCTCGATACGCTACAGATACGTCGTAACGGTTACGCTTTATTGCGGGGAATAAGAGCGAAAACGATGCGAAACGAGGATTAGCGGCTAACTCAGCCACCCAACCGCGTAGACAAGGGTGCTTGGCCTTCTCCCGCCCCTTCCAAGCTTCACGGACGTTTCGCCTTGGTTACCCGTCGTCATTCAAGGAGCCGAGTCGACCAATGCACAAACACATGTACAGGCCATCTGCTGTTCACCTCGTCCCCTTCCTGATGCAGTGGGATTTCACAACGACATGAAGCACGTTGTGAACCGACGATCGTTATATCCCCATCTATAGCCGTTCTATCCCATACCCGGCCTTTGCACTCGCGACTCCCCTTAAACCCGCTGGCCGGAAGGAATCGAATCGAAGACATTACCACGCGATGCCGTCGCTGTTCGCGCATTCGCTGTTTGCGCGCCAGAATCCCCTGGACGAGGCGAGGATCACACTCAGCTCATGGGACAATTGTATGGCCAAGGCCTATTGCAAGTGCGTTGCATCAGCCCTCTGAAATCCGACAAGCGGACTAATCCCGTGCTCACATTCAAACAGATGGCCTGTCATTGTCGCAATCATCGTCGGAAGCCTCATCCTCATATCTGTAATTACCTGCATAGCGCGATGCATATGCTGCGGCGCCGAGTTGGCGTGCTGCTGCTTTCGATGCTGCACCTGCTGCTGCAGTGGCAGTGGCGGAAGAGGACACAAGCGCGTCAAGAGCGACCCAGCAGCCCAGTACCCCACGCCCTATGGTGCGCCTCCTCAGCCGAATCCCTATGCCCAGAACCCGTATGCTCAAGCACACGCCGCTGCGCCGCCCGCTCCGCCCATCGACACCCGCCCAATCAACCAGCAATACCGCTCCAATGCCATGCCGACATTCACTCCGCACGCCGCCGCCCAGCCCGAAAGACCCCAATTTGCCACGTTTGATTCCACGCGCGCCGTTGTCAATGAAGACGCCCTACCTGCTATGCCGACGTGGAAGGACGGACGCGACGTGCACGTCCAAGTAGAGGAACAGCCTGTGCCGCAGAAACAAGGCGACATGGAGCTGGATAGGCTGGACCGTAACGGCAGCGTGACGAGCGGATCCATGGGAGGGGGAATGGTGGCAGCAGCAGCAGTACCAGCGAAACGACCATCTCCCGGCCCGGGCAGGTCCCCAGTATCGCCAATGGACAACTACGGTTACCCTCAAGGTGGCTACCAGAACGAGTCCTTTGTCAGCGAAGGAGCGCCGTTGAACAACCAGGGAGGATATGGTCGACCGTATGCACAACAGGACGAATACAGAAGAGCGTCGCCAGCCTACGCTGCTGGTGATGGTTACGGCCAACCACAGCAGCAACCATACGGTCGTCGCTCGCCAGGCGCAGCACAAGCCTACGACTCGCGAGAACAATTAAGTCAATACAACCAGCAAGGCCCAGGCGCATACGGCCAACAGGTCCCGCAAACCTACGACCAGAGAGACTACTACGACGAACATGTCGACCAGCGCTACCAATCCCCCTCACCACCCGGCCCTGCAAACCCTTACAACAACAACAACAACAACAACAACAATTACAACTCCGACCCTTACACTTCCAACCCATCCCCCTCGTACCACTCACATGAAAACGATGCCTACGCGCCTCCCCAAGCACCAGCAGCCCTTCAGCCAGGCTACCCAGCAAGCCAATCGACAGATCACGCTAGTTTCACGAATGCGGCGCCCGCGTACCCTGGGCAGAGGAGTTATACGCCCGTGGGCGGGAGTGTTGCTGGCGCTGGAGGACAGCAACAGCAACAGCAACCGTATCGTGCGTTTTCGCCGTTGGCGCAGGGGGATCAAGTGCAGAGGAAACCTGTCCAAGGGAGTTTTAGGGAGATATAGAATTTGATAATTTTTTCGTTCATTAAGGACTTGGTGTATTTGATGAATTGAGATACCCTTTACACATTGACAGATGATATTGGTCAAACAAACTGCCCAAGAAAAGGATGATTAGGCCAAGCCGCTCCATAATACCCAGCCATCATACCCAAACCATCCAGATCAAAAGAAGCACTCAGGTCATTGAAGCCCATAATACCATCACCACCACCACCTTCCATAGCATTCACACCGTCACCATCACCATTACCTCGTTCATCACTACCACCACCACCACCACCACCCGCCGCTCTTCTATCCGCCGCCGAAGCAGCAGCAGGCAACCCCAAGCAAAGCACCTTGTCAAACAACTGCGTGATCCACGGACTCGCATCCCAAGTATCCCTCGCAGCATGCAGCGCCATTTTGCAATTCATCAGTCCAGACACGCCCGCGCGCGCCACAAGCGCATTCTGGCCAGTAGTACCATTCGTCTGCATCATGTAAAACACGACGGAAGCGACGAAGAGACCATGGAAAAGCTCATGCGGCGGGAGCTGGCCGTCATCCGTCATGACCACATTGCAAGACACGGAGGCGATTTGCTGAGCTGCGTCGCTGAGCATGTCTTCTTCTTGAACTACTGCTGCTGCTGTTGTTGCTTGCTGCGAGAATGGAGAAGCTTCAGCAACGGAGATTCCGTGCTCGGGTACAGCAGAGGAGCCAATGGAACTATGCACGTAAGCCAAGATGACGTTGTGATTGTACAAGATACGCAGCGTGGACGCGAAGACATTGGAATGGGTACTAATGTGATCCTCCCAGGAGAATTCTCGAGGGAGCTCCCTACGCCACGCAGTCATCATTTCCTGCAGGGAGGCAACCGCAGGAGTACCTGCATCCTGTTTGCGCTTCGGATTGAATCTCACGGCGATGATGTGGCGGAGTAGAAGAGCCAGCTTGGTTGCGTGCATCTGGTAAGCACCCGATTGCTGCGCAAGAGGACTACGCATGCACTCGTCAAGAAGTGACAAGTCGGCATCATCATCATCATCGTAGACAAAGTCGTCCTGCGTCAGCGCATCCACATCGCACTGCTCCAGATGGATGCGAATCGGACGGCCGACTATGGACGCGCACATGGCATCCCGTATGACCAAGATCCACCAAAGCCGCTTAATCAGACTGCGGTCCTGGCTCGCGATATTCGCCCCAGCCATGCTCCTGTGGAACCCAATCGTCTCGGCAATCGTAACGCCCGTGCAGATCCAGGTATAAAAGTTCCAGTAGTGGCTTGGACCCCCGCCCCAGAAACTCATCATGATGCACACTTGGACGGCGATAATCTTGTTGCCCTCGTAGCTCATGTCGAAGAGGGCCTTGGCTTTGTCGTAGAAGGCGCTTCGTGCTTGGGTGCGGGTGCTGAAGCCGGCGCGGTGGATCATGGCTAGGGGGCAATATGTCGCTGACATGAAGCAGAGGGCGTGGAGGAGGATCCAAGGTATGCGCCGGGTTTTGTGCTGTAGGACGAGTTCAGAAGGGTTGACAATGGGGTAGAGCGGGAAGACGCGCTCGAAAAAGACGCTGATGAGTGCGTCTACGGTCTCATCTGGAGGCGCAGTGAATGCCTGTTTTGCTTCGAGGAAAGCGAGTTCTTCTGGGCGCATGCCAGGTGGATGGGTGAGCTTGGGGCTCTCAGCAGCAGCAACGGCATCTTGGTCGCCGCAGGGAGGGCCCGGGTGGTGCAGTTGGTGGCGATGAGCGCCGCCTTCTCTGAGGTTTTCCAGGACGATGCCTAGGGGGGATGCTTCTCCGATGTAGGTTATGGAATGCTTGTTTAGAGCATCCCCGTTGTTGTGGTAGCGTTCGAGAAGATGGTCAAATGTGGCTGCCCAGCTTATCTCACGGTAAGAAGACGCACAGCCTGTACTTGGAGTGCTCGAGACGCCCTCGTGCTCGGGCGGCGAGCGCTCAGCAGACGCAGCAGTACTCGCGGTACCAGCACCAGTACCAGCATCATGTACAACGGTAGGAGAAGTACTGGTGGCGGCAGTGGAAGCACTCACAGCGAGGCCAGTACTTCCGGAAACGTCTGTGCATCCTCCAGCGGTCGGTCCTTGGGGCTTACGCCGCGGCTTGCGGGTATAGATGCCTCTTCTCGATTGCATCAGCGTGCATCCAGGCAATTGTCTTTGGTCGCAACGCGTACAAGGCGTCCCGCGTTCACTGGCGTCACATTTGACGCGCTTCTCGTGACATACTCGACAGGCTTTTGCGGCCCGGCACCTGGTAGGAGCGGTAGATCGCGCATGCGGTTGCGGTTGCGATTCCGGCTGCATGCTCATTATCCAACGGAGACTAGACGCTCTTTTCCAGTCCGGGATTCAGAGATTCCTTTCGCTGGACTCATGATGGTCGTGGTGGAGGTTTGCTTAGCGCCGGTTACTTCGGGTTCTACATACCGGCCTAATCACTAACCGGTGCTGACCTCCGGCACTGTTGTCGACATCCGGCTATCCTCAGCATGAGCAAATTCCGGTTGTGGCAGCAAAAAGGCCTCGAGTTGAAGATGCTCTGATGTACGATGTGCATGTCCATGTTACAAATCAATCCCGAGAAGCTAGCAACTGACAAATCCGCCTAATCGGCAAACGTCATGGTTTACCGAGATGCTATCAGAAGTCGATTCCATATCACCTAGCCATCGCTGCACGCAGAACAAGTAACATACATATACGGCTAATAGTCGCAGCAAGTTTACACATCATCGACATCTTGTCTGCTTTTCCAACGAAACCATGTCTCACGCCCTGATCTTTGGAGCCTCTGGGATATCTGGCTGGGCGCTGCTCAACCAAATCACAACGTATCCTACCCCGACTACCTTTTCTCGGATCACTGGTCTTTCAAACAGACCCCTCACTCTAGATCAGGCACAGCTTCCAGCCGACTCGCGACTGAATCTTGTGAGCGGGATCGATCTGACTAAATCGGTCTCTGAGGTTGTGAGGTTGTTAAGGGAAAGGGTCGAAGATGTAGAAAGCATCTCGCATGTTTTCTTCACCGGTATAATCTCCCCATGGAGGCAGACAACGTCACAAGCTAATTCTACTCGGTAGCATATATCCAGACTGGGGACTTTGAAAGCCTCAAGAAAGTCAACACAGACCTCCTGAGAGTTGCCATTGAAGCGGTAGAACAAGTTTCAACCAAACTCGAATCATTCGTTTTACAGACCGGAGGCAAAGGGTAAAAGACCCCAAGCTTCCATACTCCTTCCCCCTCATCTTCCGAAACCATCACACTAACGCAATCTCCCAAAAAAGCTACGGTCTAGAATTCCCCGACAAAGTCAACATTCAAGTCCCCCTCCACGAATCCACACCTCGCATCCCCAAACCCTACGCCAGCAAAATCTTCTACTACACCCAATACGACCTCCTGACAGAAAAGTCGCGCGGAAAACCCTGGACGTTTACCGAAATCCGTCCCGATGGCATCATAGGCTTTACGCCCACGTCCAACGCAATGAACCTATCCCAAGGCATCGGTCTGTACCTCTCCATCTACAGAGCCGTACACGGCAAACACGCCGTCGTAACTTTTCCAGGCAACGTGCGCGGATACCATTCTACGCACTCTGATACGTTCCAAGACGTGCTTGCCAAGATGGAAATCTACGCTGCGACACATGCAAAAGAGTGCGGCAACGGCCAGGTATTTAACGTTGCTAATGGCGCAGCATCTGTTACCTGGGCGCAGATATGGCCAAAGCTAGCTGAGCACTTTGGTCTCGAGGGCCAAGTTCCTCCTGCTGCGCCTGATGATACCACTGCTGCGACTGTTCCGATGGAGAAATTTGTCAGGGATCATATCGAGGCGTGGAAGCTGCTTGCGAAGAAGCATGGGCTCAAGGAAGCTGTTGTCGATGAGCAGAATTGGGCGTTTGTGCACTTTATGCTTGTGCAGTTTGATTTTGATAGGCAGTATGATTTGAGTAGGAGTCGCGAGGTGGGATTCATGGAGGAGATTGATACGGCGGAAGGGTATTTCATTTCCTGGGAGAGAATGAGGAAGGCGAAGATTTTACCGCCCGTGGAGGCGTAGATAGACGTGTTACTAGGTTATTGAGATTGCTGTGAACCTTGATTTGTCTACGCGTGTCAATTCTCCGAGGCCATTTTCCTTCATCTTTGTCCTGTCAATCGCTGGCATTGTAATATATAAGATACAAGGCCATCTTCGCTACTTGGACCCAGTGTTCAGAATGGTGACTACATCTCCGCCTGTTTGTTTGTTTACCCTCTTCATACTACCTCGCGACCGTCCACTTACTAGTTTATGCCACTTCTACTCGCGTGAGTCTACGTGAGGTACAGCACAACATGCTTCATCGCCACATCTCTCAATACCTGTTGACAAGATAGCAACCAATGTCCTAGAGATGATGTCCATCTGTTCTGCGAAACGCGACAACAGGAGGTATCGTCGCACAGAAATCATTGTAGAATGTTAGGGAATGTGGCGCAGACGTATAGAGTTTCTGTAGTGTACCAAGCTCCCGTGGACGGCGTGATACAAGCGCATGCGCTACCATCCCATGGCGCAGACGCTATCGTTTCCATCATGTGCATCGTCAAGTCCTGCAATGCAACTCTAAAAGCATCCGCGGAGAGGAAACGGGGGCTTCCGCGTTGAAGAGTAGTATCGTAGTCAGGCAACATTGGTTAGTGCGCGAACGAAGATTTGCGCGCGACTGTCGTGAAACCGTGAAGGATACAAAGTCCTACGGCCGACATCAACAACAGTATTCACAAAGGTAAAGGTAAACAAGTCGGGTATTATAGTGCATCCATTGAAAGCTGGGGGTATCTATGCGACAGGTCGTGATCGATCAAGAATGATTTCCTCCACGTCCCTAGCACATCCATCTCTCGCAGACGTTACGCGAAAAGACAAAAAGGAAAAAAAGGTTTCGCTGGGTGGGATAGTCGCTCAAACTCCATGCAGTCCCGTCATTACCACATCCACATCCTTCTCGTACTCGGGGGTATAGGGTATAAAACATCCACACAGCTCTTTCAATAAACAATCTTCGCTCGGTCCGTCACTCTCGCTGAGAAGCCGCCCGGTGTCGATAATGCAATCGCGATATCGTCGTACGACCTTTGCAGTGACGTCCTCGTCCAATCGTCCGTTGTAATAGCAGTCCGTGTTCCATTCAGTAGTACCCGAATCTCCTCATGCGCCATCCTGACAAACACGCGCGTTCATCAGTACAACGACAGGTGAGAAACGGGTCCACACTAGACTCTACTAGTGTGCGTGGTCCTTCTCCTGCCGCCGCCGCCACGACCGCAGGTCAGGCAGCTGATGATGATGCCGAAGAGGGAGACGATGGCGTTGATGATCGCCTTAAGACCAGCAGCGATGGCGTTGACAATGGCCATGATGCAGTTTCCGATGGTGCGGAACTGTTAGGATCGTGTTAGCAACTCGTTCACATGGCAAGCAGGCAAAAGCGAAAGGGATATATACGTACAACCGACTTGATGCAAGATACTACGGCACCCATTGTTGCGGTGTTGTTCTTGTGTGTGTTTTGGTGATGTTATTGGTACGGGTGGGTGGGAGAGGGTTCTTCGAGGTCGAAGATAGAATTGATTGTTTGTAGGTTCGTTGTTAGATGGTTGGTGTGTATGTGAGTAGAGAAGGTTGACAAACAACAAAGACCCTCTCACTTATAAGCAGTCGCGGCTACTAACTGTGGGCAAACAGCGACTGCCCTTGCACAAAAGCTACGTCACACCGTGTCCGTGCCTTCCCTCACCTCATCTTCGACACAGGCGCCCTGTGCAGACGAAATTTCCGTTCAAACTCATCCTGCAGGTGACTCTGGTATGGGATCCGCAAACAGCCAAGCGTCGACAACGTCAGTGTGCAAAAAGTCAGGTTTGCTCACAAAGTGCACCCAAAACGGCAAAGATGGACATTCGGCGCGCTCAAAGCAGTCGCGCAAAACAAGGTCATCCCTGGTCGGTACGGTCTCGTGTGGGGCGGGCGCCACAACCTTAAGGAAGCAGCGACGTCACCGTTGGTCCCTGATGCAGTAGCGATCGAAGAATGCCGTGGCTGGGCCATGCAAAACACGCAGCCGCCTCCTACCATCGCGATGCCGCCGCGCTCAAAGAAGGTAGACCGACCTCGATAAGCCGCCTAGATGAATGATTCAGATTGATGCGGCAGGGCTAACTCAACGTTGTGCGTCGCAACAATGTTATCGTGCCAACCACGCGTTACTGCGCCCCCCTTCCCCTCACCTGTAGCCATCATGTACGCATACGCACCCATATTTGATCGTCCAAAATCCCCTACATGCTCTTATCCGGCCTACGGAGCCGTTGCGAGTTGCAAGAACCCGTGGTCAGCAGCAACCGTGACGTAGTTCTGTGGCGCCCTGTGTCCGATTTTACTCCAGTCTCCACCTCCACCCGCTGAAGAGGTGACGCCACAGCTCCAGATTTCGCCAACATGGGTCGTGACATGAAGCAATCTCTGTAAACAGGGCAACGGCACACGATTTTTTTTCAACGCAATGTCTCACCACCTGCAACTCTTGACAAGGGTGGGCCACGGAGCGCAACCTTGTCATAGCCCCCTCCCAAATGACCTGGCACTGGGCAGTCTGGACCATGATTCTCTATCAAGATTCTTGGCTCCCGCACAACATCTTGCACGGCATTCTGGAAATAGCACGGCTAACCTGGCATCGGGAACAATACAAAATGCCATCTTGCCTTCTCAAGTCCGATGCCCAGGCGCGTAATCTTGCGTTCAATCTGTGTAGTGGCTGTTCGTCCCTGTCGTGGAGATTAAACAGCGGCAGGCGGGTATCCAGTCCCCCCAACCAGAGCTTCTGCGACAAGATTTGCTAGGCTGGGATGCGAAGAGCGGGAGAGATTGCCAGCGGCTTGAAGCGACATTATCATGATTCCCCATGAGCGTTTCAGGATTTATTGTTTGCAATGCCGTGAGCCGTCTAGCGCTGGTGTTGCTGTCCGCCATCTATGGATCCCGCTGTGGTGTGGCTGGTGACGCCGTCGCATGCTCGCGCAACGTCAACGGCGGCCCGCGCCTGGTTCCAACTTTTCTTCTCCGATTTTTCGCACTGGCATCCGGAGTTCTGCGCATAGGTGGAGTCAACCACCACATCACGCACGCATGCACCGACCGCACCAAACCTGCTATGAGCGACGTAATCTTTCATCATTATATCCTTATCATCGTTACTTGGCACATTCGCCTTTGTCTAGCTACCCGCCATCCGGATTTGTCTCGTCATTCGTTGTTCGTTATTCATACGCATCGTAAACATACCATATCCAACCTCTCTAAATCATACGCCAGGATCTTTGTCTCGTCGCCCAGCCCGACGCAAGACACTGCTGACGCTCTGTCGCTGAAGAAGATGGAAGAGAAGATGTGGCTCGCGTGTTGCTGTCAAAGATTCACGGATGTTCATGTTCAGTGCTGATGCTGTGTCGATGTGGAAAGGGAAGAATCTATCCGGTCCTCCATTCCCGTCGTATCATACTGAGTTAAGTTGATCGAAAGCTGTTTGTTATCTGAAAATGTACTCGGTTTGCGATTCTCTGCTGCTGATGTTGGTCGTATGGCTGCTCTGCATGGTTTGCTCATCTTACGCCGATGAAGAAAGACTCGGAGTGTCTGGTTGAATTTGGTAGGTACCGAGAGGACTCTCTCGTCTATCGATGGTCTCGTTACTTTCCTCACGAGTTGGAGTCTGAACGTCGCTCACAGCTCGCTGACGTCCTAGACCCATCGGACCGCTATAATCTTGCCTGCTCCAGCTTGGACGATGCTGCCGGGCAGCTCTGGGTAGACTCAAGTAGGACACTTGCGAATGAAGACTTCTCGTCCTGTTGCCTTGGTTTGGTCGAGCTGCATTGTAGCGACAATCTTGCTGTGGCAGCAAGTGCTCAGAGGCGGAACGAGCGTTGATCTCTCGCATGAACTCGTCATCTTCATCTTCGAGCTTGGCCATTCGCTTTACCTGCTTGACTTTGAAGTATGGCGTCTTGGGTACTTCCGGCGCGGAATGGACCGACACCGCACGTGGTCGAGGGATATCCTGTACTGCAAAGTCCATGTGCGCGAAATACTTCTCACGCGTAGGGGTCAAACACGACAAATTGGTCTCCTCTCGGTTGCGCACGATGGACATGTAGCTCGAGACAACTCCGATTAAGATGAAAATCATCACAGCAATCGTCAGAAAACCCTGTATGACGATAATAACGATGCCAATCACCGTTGTCAAGATGCGGGCGACGCCGAACCGTGTATCAAAGGCTGCCGAAAGCGCTGTAGTAGCAACCTTGCTGAAACCAAGAAGATACATAGCCATCACGTTGAGGCGCTGTCCTTCGAAAGGCCGAAGAATAACGAAACTGGCGAATGCGACAATTTCAACCACAAGGAGTCCAAATACCTGGATCAAGGGCTGAGTTGATGCGCCGGCGAGGAAGCCTGCTCGAATGAACTCGTAGAATAGCCAGACAACAAAGAACCACCAGCGGCTTCTCCTATAGCGCGAGGCGAGCCACCCGAATCTTGTAGTGTATTGCTCATCAGCATGGATTGATATGGTATCCGCCATGGCGTGTATCGTCCACCAAGGAATCGTAACAATATATACCTCGTCTTCAGAGCGCGGGATACTGCTGTTCCTGGAAATGCTGATCCATGGGACGATCTTGCACACTCTTCGCCTTGCTATGTTCAAGCGGTCGGGTTCAGAGACATATTTCCCGATGCGGAGTCTGGAGAAGCAAGCGTAGGCGGCGATGCTGCCGATACCGAACACCACCGCAACGAAGACGATACAGGCCACTGCAACAGGAGCAGAGAGGGCTAGGTACGAGAACTGAAACATGGCGAGGAATGTCAACATGTAGAACCCGATGAAGACGGCGCGCAGAACAGATAGCATGGTGAAGGCAAGGTAGTGACCTCTGAAGAATGCCAGGCGCTCCTTCTTGACCATGCGAATTCTACTCAGGCCTTCGACAACTTTCAGGCAGAGT